ATTTACAGGCTTCTATGTTTACTGGCACAGGGGTTTTTGGATACTGTGGCTGAAGGATAAGTGGATGGTATAAGGGAGAGCATGGAGGCAACAAAGAAATACAGGGTGGAAAATTTAGAGCTGACGTGCATCCACTTTAAATTGAAAACCCGCCTGCATAGAATCTGAGAGTCCAGATCATGTGAAGACCCTCAGCTGTGGTCTGTTCCAAATATTCTATGCAGGATCTCAGATTTAAGGTTTTTTTATGGGTTTTTTTTTGTTGTTGTTGGTCAAAACTGTTCTTGGAAGTGGTGAGTTACCCCAGTCAGTGCTGGAAACTGTGGCCACTAGGGTTTTAGGTGCTGGTGGTTGTGGACCCAGGGAAGGGCCAAGGATCCTTAAAGGGTTTTGGTGGCACTATAAGACAAATGGTAAAAGGTCTGCATGTTAAGCAGGATACCACCAAGATGGATTGTTTTGATATTTTAGGTTGTATTTTTCGTTGACGTAACTTTAGGGAATTCATCAGATTTTGCACAAGTCTTTCTGTATTCACAAAAGGCCTTCATACTATTGTCTCACACATAAAACTACTATTAATGATAATAACATTTAATGTTACCAAAACTTTTCCAAAAGAAAGCTAGTGCTACAAAATGCTTTACAACAGAAAAATCCATTTAAACTCCATCATACTGTTAAATATAATCTAGCAAATAACAGTACTACACATCTGTAGCACAACCCAAGACCTGTAAACACAGTTTCATGTGTAAAATTGGCAGACTTTCCCTTTAACTTCCAGGATGTTGGCATAAATCAGCATGTTGAACATATTTTATAGTCACCTGGAAATGGCCTGCCAAAGCAGATCCTGTTGACAGTCAGCTGATACCTCGGCTCTGAATGCTACATACTGATGCATTATTGAGGGTTAAAGAGTGGATTTTTCCATTAACAGTTTCTAATGTACTGAAAATCGTCCTTGAAGTTGACGAGTGCCTGCCCTGTCAGTCCAGAAGGCCACCTCCTCCACACACACAATTTAAATTTGATGGAAAACGAGTTAGAGATGGATTGCAGAGCCTCTTTTCTCTGTAGCGCTACAGTAGCTACGTCAGCAGCGGTGAGACAGCGGTGGTAAAATTAATTACAGACAGAAACTTATTCTCTCGCGCCACGCCATCAGCATACATCACTTCCAGCCTTTAGGAGGGGATGAGACATTTTCGCTACCTTTCCTACAGTTCGGGCAAATGGATCACGACTGTGGCGAAGTCGCAAAAAGAAGCAAGGAAATCCAAGTTTTAATCAAAGTGTCAGCACATGTGTACGTTGGAGGTGCCATCGAGGTTTGCAAAAGCAGACAGAATGTGTACAAGCTGCAGAGCATGTGAGGTGTAAGAAAGGGTTGAAAGGAAAGGAGGGATTTCAAAAAAAAAAAAAAAAAAAAAAAAGCAAGAGTGAGAGGATTTGTCTTGTGCGTGAACGGCGCAGACGCAGGGGTTGTGCTGTTCATTTAATGCAAGGTTAGGCAGGCTGAGCTGATGAATGGACTGTCGACAGGAGAACAAAAGCAGGCGCTCCATCACAGGACGCCAGCAGCAGCCGCTCGCGCTCACCAATCCCTGAGCACTGATCCAGGAGCAGCTTACCCTTCACACGCCCCAACCTTAACTACTGCCGAGGAGCTGCAGCCAATACTGACTGCAGATCAGTATCTTTATGGTAACATCACGCTACTCCTGCAGGCCAATAGTCCATCTGTAAATCCTGGGACAAGCAGCCTGGAGGCAAGTATCTACGATATACACACCTTGTATACCTGCATTATAAACGTCACAAACATGCAGATAAAACAAGTCTGATAGCACGACTGAATGATTACGCACATGAGATACTAAAACACGTACAGTATGAAGGCCTTCGCATATTATCACACCAACTGAGGGCGATCAGAGGTGCGAAATAGCTGGAAGAAATCTAAAAAAAGAAAAGAAGAAACACTGAAAAATGACACCTCTGTTCCTTATGATCCCATCATCTGTTTTGCCGCAGCAGACGCCTAACACGAGTGGACTTGCAGCCTAGAAATAGAAGCTGGATGTTTTCAATTACAGAGCAGAGAAGACAGGAAAAATGAGAGGATGTTTACAAATCCCATTAAATCCAGCGGCCTATCCCAGGGAGCACAGGCCAGATAATAACCACCTATTGATTATCCATTAAACCAATACACCAGACAGTGCAGTAACACTGCAGCACAACACAATGGAGCTTTGTTACAGCGCGAACACTTCTCAGGGTGCAGAGAGTCGGAGGCTGAGGCACTGAGGCTGCTCCGTCGTCGGCGTAGTTGCTGTTAGCATCGCGGAGAGAAACGTGGCTCTGACGCTGGAGGAAGTTCACAGGAAGTGGGTGGTTGGAGATGGCTGGAGGGGGGGGGGTTGATGGTGGCTGCCAGCACCTCACCAAATAGACTCATAAAGCATTCTCCATGCTTTGGTGCCTGTGGCTGACCCTCGCCGAGGACACACACTTCAGTTTTGTATTGCAGTCGTTGGTCAAGCCGACCTACACGTCGCAGCTCAGAGGTTCAGGCAGATTTAAGATGAGTCATAGAGGGAGTTACATAGGTCTATTATTTTTGTCTTTCGTTCAGTTATCTGCTTTTATTGTCAGTGCTTAAAATGAATTAGCCGACATAATATACATGATAGACGTGCTTTGATTGTTGCTGGTTCACAAGTTGTTGTTTTTTAAAAACACCATAAACACATTCAGTTAACTTTAAGAAGCAGTTTCTGGATGTTTTTTTTTTTTTTTGCTCCCAACATATTTTTACTCACTGTGGGGTTCATTTTTCACTGTAATATAAAGTCCTGCACCTCTACAGAAACAGCACAGCCATGGCTAGAAGCAGAGAGAACTCAGAACTCATTCTGTGCACTATGATACTGGTAAAACGCCATAAATCATTAAAAAAGTTGAATTGCTTTGACTATTTGTTTTAAAAAGTGCCTACGGGCGCCACCAATACTGGGTAAGAAACGGTGACTCTGCATACTGATATTTTGCTACTTAGGTTTTCTGTTTTGCTTCTGCTCTGTGTAAAGCAAACACAGCAAACAGCTCTGTCCAGTTCAACCGCAAAGTCCCTGAAGTTCTGTGACGTGACTGTTGGTTGCAGCTTTAGCATTAAAGCTTCCTGGTTGCGTCAAAGAGGGCAGAATTTCTTGTATTTTTACAGAACCGGGTTAGAGGAAACACTTTATTTTTGCAGGATTTTTCCACGAGACACACTGTATAAAGTGTTTTTGATGAACTATCGTGACTGAATGGCTTGTGTCACATGAGTAGTTCAAGGACTGTTGGAATAAATATTGCAATTTTGTAAAGACAACGTGCCTTTCAAACCTGCAAACCGTTGTTGGGATTAAGGGACTACTTGTTTTGTGCACTAGTGACGGAGGACTTGAAGTTTTTTGTTATGCTTGTCATTTTAAACGGAGCCATTCTTTTTAAAAAGTCTACTGTTGTAGCATCACTAAAGCAAAACCATCAATGGATATGTTGTGCATAGTCAGGTCTCATTGTTCATTAAATGTATAAACAGGAATCATGCTTAATTAAAAAAAAACTGTATCAGGGAAGGTGCTTTTCACTACAAGGAAAGTTTGTTTTCGTTGAAGTGGGACTCTATGAAGCCCAGAGACAGTGTATGACTTCAGCAGATTGCAGTCGGGGGAAGCTAAGCAGTGAACATCAGCAAAACGGATTTTAGCCACGTAAAAACAGGTCCGCCTAAAAAACATCTATACAAGTGTATGCTATATTTAGAATATCCCCACAGCCCTTTCCTTTGACATTGTCTCAATCACTCTGTATTCCTACACATCAGAGCACTCGTGCCCTCCACTGTGTTACGCAGCACATCTGATCTGCTGACTCTGTTCACACATTTCACTGTTTAGCTTCCCGTCCAGGAGCTGCTTCGGACCAGAGGGTGCCGACCGCAATCTGTTAGAGGTGACACACTGACTACGGATGAGAACCTCATACAACCCCGAACCAAGCGAGCACAACTGAACAATCCCTTTAACTTTTCTCATGTGCTTCTGAACGGTTGTATAATTTCTAACTTTGCCTTTTAAAATTATCCAGATTTCTTATTTGTGTGTCCACATATGTTATTTCCCTACATTGTCAATGAGGCCTCCGCACCTCAGTGGATTCTGAGTTTAAATTAAAGTAATACACAATATTCAAATCTTGGGATCACGGTCTGTTTATGCCACTATCGGGGCTTTTTTTCCCCCCAAAGTTATTCAGTTTATTGTATGTTGACAACCATGTACAAGTGAGGCTATAGGTATGACACATAAACAGAAGGGTTCAGCTTTGGTCCAGAGGAAACACGACCAGAACAAGCGAATCAACATGTTTTCTTAATACTCTGCAACTACATCTGGGTTATGATTAATTAAGTTTGCGTTTTCGCTTTGGAGAGCGAGCGGGAAAGGGAAAGCAGCCTGTGAACATTCACTATGCCGTACGACATGTCAGAGTTACATGAGCCTCATATTTCTGATTCCATTTGAAACTCTATTAAATCTCCACCTGACAGACATCCTCTTAAATGCAGAAACATAATCCATCAACGTGCGCTGACTGATGGTTCTTCTGTTTGCTCTGCCTCGTTCCTTTCACACAGCAGCTCTGATAAATGACGGTGGATGTGCAAAGTTGTTTCAGGTCCTTTTTTGGCGTAGCCCTTAAATGTTTAACACTTGGACTAACTTGAATTGGGGGAAAAAAATCTAACCTAGGAAACTACTAATAGCAACGCTACAATTTCTTAAAATTGCTTCTTTTTTCTCTCATTTTTGATCTCTGCAACATAAAATATGCTGATAAACTACTTGGCATCCACACACAAGTAAGTCCAGTTGTAGTATTGCTTAGTGAAGAGACGCTGTGTGATATCTGTGCAGCATCTGTGTGTGTGCGTTACTGACCGTGCACTCTGTAGTGTTTGTTATCTTCAAGCAGAAATCGGATGCAAACTCCAGTTCGGACAGACACACGCTGTTACAGTCGAACGTCTGTGGAGAGTCAAAAACAAACACGTGATCACAACGACGACAACACAACGCACAACTTAGGGTAAAAATACGAGTACTGGTGAAAGTATGATCAAGCAATACAAAAAAAAGAAAGAATATAGAGGAAATCTGATAAGCAGCTGTTTGTTTTGGCTGGACAGGAGCACTTGTTCTAACATTTTTTTATTATTATATTTGAATCATACAAACAGCCTGAAGTTCAGCTGTGAAAAATGACCATTCATTTTCAGATGTTTTTTTTTCTTCTTCCCTGCAGCAGACAATTTAATGTTGTTTTCAACGGATTTTTTATTATTTAGGACAAAACATCTCACCAAAACACAGCATTTTAAGTCGTGGTGTTGCCACAGTCTCCATAAGAAAACCATTGGTGCACCAAACTGCTATTTACAAAAACAAACTGATCATTGATTAAACCCCTAAAAACTCATGTTTGTGCATCAAAGTTAGAGAAGATTACTCCATAAAAATAATCTCTTCCTGCAGTAAAATGGCTTAGATGTAATTCTGCATCATTGCTTCCTTTAGAATTTGGAGATCTACAAAGTCATGATATGTCTTCTAGCACATAAAAGCACCATGTGGAGAAGTTAACAATGTTCATAATAGGAGGGTCTTAAACTACAAGTACTGCCGGTCAAATCTGAGCCAAGAAGTCTGTCAGTAAAGTATGATGGGTGCTTGAAGTTTTGTAACTGTTCACTTCTGTTTGTCTTCTAAAAGTTTGGCTAAACTGCTGGTTTCTTGTTTGTAATATCATCACTGTGTCCCTGAATCTCTTCAATTACTTTGGTGAGCGCAGCGTTATTATAACTGAGAGAATCAATGCAGCGTGCAGCTTTAAAACAACACCTGGTGAGGTCAATACATGTATATAAAAAAAAAACGTTTTATTGAGTAGAAATCTAAATGTGCTGAACAAGACGCTTCTTTAACCCGATGAAGCTCAGTGGTTTTCTGTCAGGATTCAGCTCATAGTTAATGGGGAATATTTCTGATTATTGAACAGCCTATTCAGGCATTTGTGTGTTTAACATACATTAAGAGCAACTGAAGAATCATTAATCCATCTTCATCTTGTGTGTAAATCCACAGCTGTGCTTTACAAAACGTTGAATATATTTGTTAATCAGCACCTGCTCCTGACTTAGCAAGACCTCTAATAGCATTATTTTCTCTTTTAAGTTATTGTCTGCACAGAAAGTGGAGATGCATGGCACTGAGTACATGTCATAACCTTGAGCCTGTATTTTAGCACATATCGGACCAGTTCTATAACATAAGCAGCATCTGGGAAAAAAGGAGACTTTGTTGTACAGATGTCTGACAATCATCCACTTCTGTTTATATTAAAGCTCTAATTAAATAAGTTCTCCTACATAGAACCCTGATAAGCAGAATTAAGACCGATCAGGGCTGTGACCTTCTACAGGCAGCAACAGCAACAGGATGCTAAGTGAGACAACTGGACAAGGACTAAAGAAAGAACATTGGTAGAAGAAAACAACTTCTTTTTGTCAATTGGGGGATTTTAAAGGACACTACAAAGTGGGTAAATCTGCTTCCACAGGATTTAGACATGAAGCACAGTGATTTCGGATTTTGCCAAATATGTATAATGGCTGCCTGGTTCACATGAGGACACGTCTTTAAGAGACCACTTACAATAACACACACTCCAGCAGAATGACTTTCTAAACTCTTTTTGACTCTAAACATGAAACACGTTACATAAGGCAGCAAGTTTAACATTCATCACATTCAACATTCCTATCTGTAATCACTGAAGAACAAAAAAAAAAAAACCTCATCTGTTTAGCAGGAATTTATAATTCCATGAAAGGGCTCTCAATTTTACGGAATAGCAGCCAGCCTTAATGGAATGTTATTGGATCGTATCAACGGGAGGCAATAGATGAGAGTCCTTGTAATTTGGGCAGAGGGGCTGTCTATTTGTCACTGGAGGGGAGAAACTATCGATTAGAGGATTCAAATTCCATTATATCAAGTTCTGCCCTCATTCATCACGTTCTCAGATGGGTGGAGGACACGCTACTTAGCAAACAGGCCAGCTGGCAAAGGAAAAACACCACGGTATGAGAGTCGAGATGAAGGCGCTCTCCTACGCAAGAAATATTCAGAAAAAGGTGTGTGTGTGTTGTTGGATGCGAGACTATTTCCGCTCTGTGTGTGTGTGTGTGTGTGTGTGTGTGTGTGTGTGTGTGTGTGTGTGTGTGTGTGTGTGTGTGTGTGTGTGTGTGTGTGTTTTATCTCGGTGTAATGTGTGCACTCTCCCATCAGCTCAGTGAAAACCGCTCTATCCGCAGGGGGCTGAGAGTAATGAAGTTTCCTTAAGAGGAACTTAAACAAGGATTAGACAGATCAATCACCCAGCACTACAGCATCACCGCAAACACACACACACACACACACACACACACACACACACACATTTCTAAACTTTAGGGCTCTATCTGTTTCTCTGCAGCTAACTCCTGCTCTCATTCTCTGACTATGTTCTAACATCTTTGGCCCCAAAAACTCAATTTCCCCAGTTTGTTGTGGGTGCGTTTGTTTCTGCAGAACACACACACAGGACCGGACTAACGTATTGGTTTACTGATACGTCTGTATGCTACATGTGTTACAGTAAATATCAGATATCAGGTAATTAGTGCCATCCAAAGATGACAAAATTTAGCATCTACTCTAATCATTGAAATAAGAAAAGCTTGGTTTTTACTCTTTGTTTTTGCCCTTTTCAGACATGGCATTGCTGCTTCATTAGTCTGTTAAAGTGACGCCATTCTGTCATTAACACATAGCTCACTTTTATCTCAACGTTTCCAACGTCTTCCGTCAGTAATGCTCATCACAGGGACGGATAAAGCCACGATAAATGCACAATATTTACTCAGAGATAGAACAGAACATCAAGGTTTAAGAAGCTACGAATAAACAACAAACTAAGCCTAAACCCGATCAGCCGGGAGGATTATGTTTCATACTGGTGAAGTGCCACAAATTTCTAAGTTTATGAGTTTATAAGCTACAGTGACATGTTTTGTTAGATAGTGGCGATCCTCAAGTCGAGTCTTGAGCTCCAACACAGCTGTCAGAATATTATTTTACCGTAAAAGTCTGTTGTGTTTGGTAAAGTCAAAATATTTTTTCTGTCTTATAAAGTTTTTCTGTTGCAGAGATTTTTCAGACTCACACTCTCACCACAGGATATCTGCAGCAGTAGCTGCTAATCATTAAAATAACTACCAAAACCATGCTGCTAGTTAAATCTGGATGCAGTTCAGATTTGTGCCGTGTTCAAAGGGATAGAGAAATGTTTCTAGGTCCAACTGTGTAAGATTGTTGATGCAACTTTTGTGGAAAAGTGCTCATTCAAACATGAAGACAGGTGCAGTGCAAAACCAGCTGCATTGTGGAAACTCAAAATCATCCTTTAAAGGAAGACTTTGACATTTTATCTCTGGGACAAACGCTTAAGCTGCTTAAATAATAACAACACACACTATTATGTTTCTAAATGTGCAAAGTTATGAAGTAAAATGCTCTCCTCCTGCTTCTAGATCAGTTTTGCCTTTTCTTTTTAAGCTAGTGACCCTTAACCACAAGGCAAAGCTACAGATACTTTAGGGGTAAAACTATATTCACAAAAAGAGCCAAAGACAAGCAAGAACTATGAAATCACTAATCACTTTAGCTAAATGTTGTCTTCTTATTTCCTAATGAGAACACAATTCTAGTGATTTTCATTATTGTTGTTCTTGTTCTAGTAGCTATTATTATGTTATACTGTGATTTGACTATTTCTACTTTTAAAAATATGTAGTATGTCCAGCCAAAACAACCATATATTTGTCGAACTGTAAAGACGTGTTTGGCATTTTATTATTTTAGAAACGCTTTGTTAAACAGATTGGCTGCCTCCAGTTTTTAAAATATCAGTCTTTCTATAGGGGTTCCAAATGTACACCACAGAAGGCTGAACGTTTACCTGTATGACTGCAGGTTCTGATATGAGCGTGTCCGCTTTCAGCACTTCCACCACCGCCTCGGGCACCACGGCCTTCTTCATGCAGCCCATGTTGAAGCCGTACACGTCATCCCAGAATGCAATGCGGTCTTTGTGCTTCTCAGTATCTCCCACAGCTGCCAGGCTGATGTTACAAAGATCTGGGTACACTGTGGAGAAGCAAGAGAAGATGGAGATGGAGTAAAAGGTGCAAAACAGCAACTGTCTGTTGGGAATGGCTTGAAGTACAGTTAAATTCATAGCTGCAGATTTCAGGGAGGAAATGCAGGGGGTATGTCTCCCTGAATATTTACAGCACATGCATTTGTCTCCCAAATAAAGCAATGAAAGACACCAAGGACTTTTCTCTATATAAATGAAGATATTTCATCCACAAAGTGATGCAGAAAATGCAGTAATTGGTGGATAAAAATTCACCAAAATGCAAGAAATTAAATGTTGGTTGCTCAAAATTTGCAGGGGTTCACAATGCTGGTATATCCAACAGAACCAGGAGCACCAAACACACATATTACTTTCTAAAGGTTTAATAGTTACTGCATCTCAGAATGCGGTTTTAGTGTGCTCAACTATTAAAAGGCAAATGGACAAATTCCTTCAGAAGTTTATTTTGCTCTAAAAAAAGATCATTAATCATAACTAAAGAAAACTCTGGTCACATAAACGTCTGGTCGCAGCGATGAGACATCCTTAATATCAACAAATTGAATGGCTTACAAACCATTCAACAAATTTAATCAGAGAACGCCTTTACACCTTGTGGGTGTGGAGTTTTGCATCAATTTCATGAAGCTCCTTTAATGACTGTATCCATCAAATGAGCAGAAAACATGGCCTGATGACCAGTTTGTCCTACTTTTATACTTTATATGATAAATTGCTAAAATGTGGACACCGAGACATAACATGCGGGCACACTAGCATTGCTATGAGACCGTCCGTGAGGCTGACTTACTAAACTCCCATCTTCACAAAAGGTTTTCCACAAAACGCTGGAACCTGGTTGCAGATATTTACCCCTGTGGTACGAGGTGAGCGGTAAAACATGGCTCATCCCAAAGATGTTGGATGGGACTGAGATCAGTGCTATGTGCATTCAGTTTCTTCCATACCAACCTTTAAAAAAAACATATTGTTAAGGAACTAAAGACACTAAAGCCACAAAGTTGGAAGCACACTAACATCTAAAGTATTACTGTATAAAAACATCATTGGATTGCTCCCTCAGGATTGGAGGAGTTGCTGCCCCATGCGAAG